TGTGGTCGATCTGATTTTCGGTATGTCCATCACGGGAAACCCACGTGACTTCTGTTTCAACCAGTGTTGTAAATTAAATTTTAATTAATTTAATTATCGCTTAATACTAACACATCCAACATTTCCGCCTAACTAAATTTCAACATAAACATAAACAAGCCTAGCTTGTTGCAGATGCGGTTGGCTGGACGCCTGTAGGTCCCTTTAGACGTCTTGATCGTCACCACTCATATAACTACGTTTGCGCCAGGGTGAACCTCGGCTATCCTCGCTAAGGGCCATTGAAGTGGTGGTAAGTTGTCCTCCCGAAAAATCACGATGCTGCCTACACGGATAGTGCCTGGTAAACGGTTCTTACTTGCTTCCTGAAGTCCAGTGATGTACTCTTGACTCCAACACTGCCTGTATCGCTGGAACATCTGCTGCCGTTGCTGATAGTGGGCTGAGCGGTTAGTGGGTATGGCTGTAAGATTGGGATCGGGGAGGGCTTTCATAGAAGTCCCGATCAAAAAATGGGCTGGTGTTAGGGCATCGAGGTATCTAGGGTCGTCTGATAATGGGGCTAGAGGTCTAGAGTTAAGGGGGGCTGATATTTGTACGAGCAGGGTGCAGAAGTATTCATGACTCAATTGGTTCGTACCGACTTCCTTTTTAAGGCAGATTTTGGTGGAGCGTACTGCTGCCTCCCATAATCCACCGAAATTGGTTGCACGGGTTAAATGCCAGGATATTCCTTGCTGTGAAATTTCAGATACAATAGCAGTTGACAGGTCCATGACTAGTTCCAGGTCTATCGCTTTGGTCGTAAAGTATATGAAAACTGCAATGTATCATTTCGGTGGGGCTGCTCGACGGTGGAGGGGCTTTAAATAGAAGGGTCCACAAAAGTCCACGCCAGTTATTTATTAATTTATTGTTGCTTCGTCTTCGATTGAATCTTACAGACTGCTCTACATATTCTTAATTCTATTTTTTTAAACATTCTTAGGAATAGTAAAATCGTAATGAACACCAACGTCGTTGAAGGCTTTCAAGCAGGAATTTAGTGGATTGTTCTGACCATAGACGGTTCTATGTGCCGGTACAGCAATGAGAGGAGATTTCCTTAGTTGCCGTGGTGGTATAAAGAGATAAATTTCCTGGAGCAATTGAGGACAATCGATGTTTCCGCCAAGTAGGTCGAAAATGAATAGTTGCTGAATCATTTTACGCCTTTCATTTAACGTTTCTATGTTTATCAATGCACAACGAGCGGTGTAGTCAGGTAGGTGCATGGGATCATGCCATGGCAGGTTTCGTAGTGTGAATCTGATGAACAGTCTCTGTATTCGTTCAACTTTTAAAACGAGTGAGGTATGGAACGGAGCCCAGATGGGAGCTGCATATTCTAGGAGGCTCCTTACTAGAGTACAGTACAGCGTCTTCTGGGCGTAGATATCCGTGAACTGCCAAGTGTACCGCCGAATGAAGCCGACTTTCATTCCGTTTTCACTGCACCATAGGAACAAATTGTCAATATTACGCTGAAGTACAATACAGTCGAGGATGGAAACGATGATTCTGTAGATTTTCAAGTCATGGGCAAACATCTGCTTGAATGATGAGATACGTGGACACAAATCATTTACAAACAATACGAAGATAAATGGTCCCAGCACACTGCCCTGTGGTACACTGGAAGTGATTGAAAACGATTCCGAACGAGTAGAGTTTAACGACACGAAAGCATAACCATTCGTCAGGTAAGACCGAATCCAGTCAACCATCCAATCGGAGAGTGCTATAGCTTTCAGTTTTTCACAAGCACGCAAACGGTTTTGAAAAATCAATGTAGACCGAGTCAACCTGATTGCGAAGTTCGACCTCGCGGAACAGTGTGTTGGTATAGCACATCAGATTCGTGGATGTAGAACGATGTTGAACAAACCCACGTTGATACTCCGATATGAAAGGCTGAACAACACTGTAAAGTGCTCCGTGCACTAGGGTTTCGAAAGCCTTGCTAATGCAGCATAGAAGCGAAATACCACGATAATTGTCAACGTGGTTATGGCTACCGGATTTGTGTATTGGTACGATAGCAGCAGTTTTCCATAAGCTGGGGAACGTCCTCTCGAACAGCGAACGGTTGAATATACAGCAAATCGGTAAAGCCAGTGAGCGACCGCAGTATTTCAGGAAATTCGGAGGAATTCCGTCAAATCCGGGGCTTTTTGATGCATTAAGATTGGTCAAAACTGTATGGACATTAGAGTGATGCAAAATTTGAAATTTTCGCTCCACAATACTTAAACGATTACAATGGAATTGGAATGGGAATTACTATAGAAAAACCAAGATTTTCGTTCAAGTCTATCTAATAATTCACCATATCGGTCTGCTTCAAAAGTTTTCAACTGTACTTGTAGGAAATTTTTCCAGCTACAACTTTGCTCAAAACCACTTTTTAATTAAATGCAAGGATCGAAAGTTATCAATGGTTCAATGCACTGATGTCTTATGATCATGCTCAATCAACTGCTCAGCAGGCAACATTGGTGTTTCTGGGGCGTTGAAAAGGACACAAAAATCATGGCTACTATGTCACACTGCAAAATACAGTGTTGCCTACAGAGCAGCTGCTTGATCATGTCATAAGTTTACCAATCTGTTAAACAATTAATAACTTTTTCCTGTCTCGTTTTACATAGAAACAATCTTTAGCAAAGTTGTAGCTGAGAAAATTTTCTATAAGAATGGCGATCGAACTGTTTCGCAGCTCAATATGGAAAAAGACTAGAAGGTAATGAACAGAAAGTTGAGATTTCCCATAGTAATTTACATGTAAACTTCAAATGGCTTGTGCGAAGTCTGTTTCTAACCAAATGAGTTGTAACCTTGAGAGGCTAATCATGACCCGATTTGAAACCATTTAAGCACTGTGGACCGAAAAAGTCAAATTTTGCATCAGTCTAATGGACATCATCTGGCGTGAAGCGTAGTAAGGGGAAATTTAAGTCATATTCATGTCGATCGTTGACGCTGTAAGCGGAGAGGCGAGCTTGCCTTGCACCATAAACACATGAAAAAACGTAGCGAACAAATTTGCGATCTCTTCCGGCGAAGTTGCGGTTGCGCCGTCTAGAACAACTGTGTTGGGTAGACGATTGCACATCCTTTGCGACTTCACGAATTTCCAGAAATTCGATGGGTTTTGTCTCAGGTTTGACTGTGTTCGTTGAACATGTTCTTCGTAGCTAGCGGCGAGTAGTTCGTTGTATTGAGCTTCAATTGAACGAAGAGTATTTCGGTTGTCCTCGGATTTAGAGATGAAAAACCGTTTGCGGGCCTTGCGGAGTTTGTTGCGTAGACTATGCAGCTTTGTATTCCGCCAGGGTTTCCACGCAGAGTAGTCGGAGAAAGGTCTACGAAGAGGAACACACTCGTGGAAAATTGCGTGCAGTTTTTCGTAGAACTGGTTTGTAATGTCAACGTCAACTGAATCACCGTTCAGAATCAGGGACCAATTAACTGCTGTAAATAAGTATGTGATCTAGGGTGGTTAGGTCACAGTTTTTAAGATCCAATACTGCTGGGGCATCATGACGATCAGGTAGATTGAAGTGCGCATCGAGGTTCAGAATGAATGGCCTGTGATGGATGTCAACATTAAGCAGTGGAACCGCTGGTTCAAGGAGATCAAAAACGTCTGGATTGGTAGTGAATGCCAAATCAAGCAGCTTTCCATTTGTGTTTACAAATGGGTTAACCTGAATTAGACCATTAGCAAGCATTTCTTCGGTAAGAGCCACTTCCGGCTCCGTCGATGAGTTTGAAGGCAGATACCCGTTCATGTCCTCGTCGAAATTCCAGAGTAAATGAGGGAGATTATAATCACCCAGCACCATGATGATATCATCGCTCAAGGACGTCTCTGTAATATTCCGTATTGCTACGGCATGTAACTTGTAGAGCTCAGCACCTGACAAAGGGCGAACGTAGATTCCGGATATGAACAGTGGGCGGTTCTCCAAACTAATTCGGACAATGACCTGCTAGAGATGGTCACAGTTTTCCAACGAAACCAAGGAGCAAGGGTGCACAGATTTGACTGCTATGAGTGTACCACCTCCCCTGGATAATTGACTGGTAGATTCATAGCCAGGTTTTTGTTAAGACCACTGCATCGTAATCACTACTTGTCAGTCTCAAACGAAGTTCTTGGATCTTCGTACGTAAACCCCTAACATTTTGATAGTAGATAGAGAAAACTGAATCCGAGAGGTTCTCCATCTCACTATCATTAACTCGTACCGAAGAAATCCCAGGTGCATTCATGGAGCGGTCCTGCGTTCGTCTCGGTCAATGTAGGGATGTCAGTACGTTCCAAAGTTTGGTTAACACCACTGGAATGACGACCAGTCGTCGCGCTGGAATCGGAGGGTGGATCAGACAAAATACTGCTTAGAATTGCAACGTACTCGCCTTGAATGACAGGTTGGAAGACCCCTTCTTCATAACCACACACAGGCCCAGGACGACTGTTGGCCGATGACGGAGTGTGCTCGACTGTGGTGGAAGGATTAGGGGCTTCCTTAGAGCTAACCTCGTTGCGTCCTGTAGTTTGAGTAGTACTTGCAGAGTGTTGAGTTGAAGCAGCAATGGCACCCACGGAGAGATGATATTCTCGGATGACGGTATGCAGATTCGTAGTACGATTTATGTTGCTAAGAGCATCACCTTGGACGGCTCCTGTCCTACCATCGTCCACAAGAGCAAGGTGACTTTGACCTCGTGAGCACACATCATTAGTTGGCAGGATTGGGTCGGAGTTTGGGCTGAAACTATGCAAATCATCAGGGACAGAAGGTTTGATAACGTATACACGTGATCTTCTATTTTTCTGCAAGCAGATGATCATGGACTCAATCCTTGGATTAGTTAGCTTAAACAGTTTAGGCCAGGACTGTTGTGATGTTCGTAAAGCTTTTTCGGATGATCGATGCATGTATTTTATTAAACAGAGCAAATGGCCCTAATGTTGCCCCATGCACCTATAGAATGGGCCCATCAATTCAAATCTTAAATTTTTCTTAGAACAATGCGTCATCTGGACAATTTAAATTGATATTTTTGGTTGCTAGTGAATATTAGGGACAATAACTCTGTATAACTTTAATCCGTAATAGTTTTTTTTTAATGCATTATTTAAGTGATTGTTAGCCGAAGGATAATAAGCAAGGGGCGTAATAAGTCAATGCATCGATTTGAAGCGTTTTCCTAGAATGTTACTGGAATGCTAGAACATGTGTCGCCAGTGCTGACTGCGGAATATATCCGACCACACTTTGCAACTCCTGTACTTTACAGTAGCTCACTTCACCGGTCTGGAAGTTGTCGAATTCATTCTGGTGCCATCCGTAATCGTTTTGTCTCGATCCACAGATGGGAGAAACTGCCATGAAAGGATTATTACTGACTACCAAAGCTATTGCCGCATCCATAGTGGGAACTTTCACTATTTTCCACAGCCATTTTGGTACTGGAATCCCTCCGTCCACCAAGGTGAAGCTCGGGCAATAGTTGGTTGATGAGCAAAGCGCTAATGTTCCGTATGTTCCAGTATAGATTTCAAAAGTTTGCTTTGACTCGTTTGCTAAAGTGCGAACCTTGGTTTCTATGGTCTTCCAGTTGCCGATGTTAATTTTTTCCCACATACCGGCAACGTTGATAAAGAAGTAAGTTGACCATTGCCAGGTTGTGAACAGTTCGTCACCGTCCGGAGTAAGATGACCTCTTTGCAGGTAGGATCGATTGTAGTAACTTTGTGCGTCTGTTTGGGCGATACTGTTCCCCGTTTGAACACTGAACAATTCCGTCAATCTTAACTTCTGACTCAACTGAGTGTAGGCAGTACTTACAAAAAATCTACTTGTAAAGCCAATTGACTTGAAATCCGGTCTGCTACTATTGTAGATGCTTTTATCTTTGAATTGAAAGAATATGAATTACTATTACTTGTCATTTAATTTTGTTACTTACGACCGATTTCGTTGCCGAAGAGCACGTGATGGGTAAAGAGTGTAAAAGCACTCGCTTCATCAAAACAGGAACAGAATAGATCAAAAAACATATCCCCAGTTGGGAAAGGCACATTAAACCCTATTGCTTTGTTGGTTCCCAGGCATTGTGGATCTGGCCTCAGTTGGTAGTTTCCAGTGACCTTTCGAACGCACGTTACCGTACTGATGCTCACTGTTGTGCCATTCATTAGAAACATCAATCCATTGTCACATGTGATGGTTTCGACTGTGCTATTGGCTGTAAAGTGTAATTTCTCATTTGTGTAAACCTTAAAAACAGCACCATCCTTTACTTCATCAACTTACTACCACTGATGGAATTTTGAGATCCAGCAGAAGGAGGACATGCTATCGAGGACGTCTCCCCATGCGCCCAAGTGAGATAACCATCTGTAGGGACCATCAACGAACGAGGAGTTCCATCTCTTATGAAAACTGGCTGCAGCTCCGGAAGATCCCTTTTGATATACACTTCACATTGCTTTTTACCTAAAGCACAGTCAACTACATTGTTTAACACCTCCAATCAAATATGAAACAAACCAACCTGTTGCCACGCCAAGGCCAACGCCAACGCCAACGCCAACGGCGGCACCTCCTGCTACTGATGTCCCTGGATTTTTAGAAACAAAGTTCCCAACCGACGTAGCCGTTTTACGAACTAGCTTAACAATCTTTGGGATCTCTTTTGACACCTTAGGAATCCATCTGGCTATGAAACTACCGACAAATCTCCCAAACTGTGGCTTTGGGGAACGCTTTTCTCTTGATTTGGCTGAATCTGTTGCTGCCGCATGGACAATCAGCACAAAAGCTATCAGGAAAAGTATTAAAGATCGCTTGCTCATCTCGGTAATGCACGACTGAGTGATGATGGCACGGTGCAGTTTGCATTTATTCACAGATAAGAGAAACACCGTAACATGATAACACAGTTATTCAAGAGCTGTATAGTTCTGCTGCACTGAGCGAAAACATTCCTAGCAATTCTCGCACATTCGAGCCTTAAGTTCTCTGCTTAAGTTCAACAGTATATGAGTGATCCAGACGTCCAACATCATATGAGATTCTCGCATTTCTTGGCGAATTCGAAAATTATGTATTCGTACGATTTTTTCGGAAACTAATTTGCGAAATTTGCTTTGCGCTTCATAAGACTTCCCGTATCAAATATCTAGCGTTTAGTTTCCTGAGTGTAGTTGAGCAAATAATTGATTAAGTCGGTTGATTTGTTTTTCTATACACAAATTTATAGCGGAAGGGGATATTTTACATTAGTTTGGCCAATTTTATCAACACAATTTATTGCTGGTCATTCTAGAGTAATGTAGGATCAAATATTGTTTTACCATTCGTTAGAGGCGAATCTACGGCTAAAAGCCTCTCAAATAAAGATAAATTTACTTACTTTATCATTTGTGCAGCGTCTGGAAATTGAATTGATGTATCATAAAGTGCTTTTAAAAGTGATTCAACGAGGTGCCATTCTCAAGTCCAAAAGACAAACAAAAGAACGTACTTAAGAGACACAATTTCAATTGATCACGTGAAACCAGATAATGAATGTGGATAATGGATCTTAGATTGGGCCCATCGCTAAAAATCTGCTATTTATAAATTTAATCTAGATGAACGCGTCATTGGGACGGTACTAATGGATATTTTTGGTCGCTAATGAAAATTTACTCGTTTGCTGAATTTATGAATGGACCCAAATTAGGGGCATTTAGGCCGACATTACATCCATTTCCCCTATCTGGTGATTTTCAAAGTAGAGCGGAATGATAACGACCCAAATTTAAGTTAATTTCACTCATAATCGCCAAAAGTGCATGAACTGATGAACTGAGCAATGATTAAATTTCTCCCATGGTTTTCTATGGAAAATTTAAAAAAATCTGCTGGAAAATGAGTAAAGTTGCCGAAAATTTTACTCAGTCTAGGAGTAGTACCAGTAGACTGAAGGAATTCGATCTTTATTTTTCTCATATTTGGGATGTTTTTTTTCTGTGGACAAACCTGAGAAAACATGAGACAAATTTACTAATCGCTTAGTTCCTGCACTTTACGTGGTTTATGATTTAACTAAACTCAAATTTGGGTCGTTCTCATTCGCTGTGTTTGGCCTTTATTAGGTTTTGCACCGTCGGGGTTAACCTCAATCTGATGACAGTTCAGTGGTACTATTTCCGTGGACTTTATTTTTTTTTCTTGGGTGGATTTTCTTGATTAATTTTCAGACTGCAGTGAGATGTAAACCACACTTCTGCAATTTCCACGAGCAACATCCTTTCATCGCGCTGTTCTTCGACAATTTTCAAGTTAAAATTCGAAAATTTAAGAATATTTTTTTTTTTGAAAAAACGACTAAGTGCTTGTAAACAGTACCACTGAACTGTCAAAAAGGTTCAGCCGATTAACACTGAGTTCATTTATGACGTCACGCTGCAGTACCTAATTAGGTACTGCAGCGTGACGTCACAAATGAACTCAGTGTTAATCGGCTGAACCTTTTTGACAGTTCAGTGGTACTGTTTACAGACACTTAGTCGTTTTTTGGAAAAAATATATTTTAAAATTTCCGAATTTTAACTTGAAAATTATCGAGGAAATGCGTGGTGAAAGGATGTTGCCTCGTGGACAATGCAAAAGTGTGGTTTACATCTCACTGCAATCTGAAAAAATATCCAGAAAATCTACCCAAGAAAAAATCGACTAAGTCCACGTAAACAGTACCAGTGAACTGTCATCAGATTGAGGTTAACCCCGACGGTGCAAAACCTAATTCATGCCATGTGCGTTCATTCATTCAAGGAAGGGAGTGATAAGTGGGTCTGCCAGTAAGCTTCGGTCGTGGCTCGTGGCTATACAATTCATTACGTTGCCCTTGCTGATACATACGAATGTAGTGGAAACGACGGAAATAAAAATTCGCATGTCAGACCTGATCTTTTATGAATGTTCATTTTCAATCTGTCAAAAATGAAACAAGCTTTTAGTGACGGTTCCTTTCTGATTCTATAAAATAAGCAAGCATTTCTTCGGTAAGAGCCACTTCCTGCTCCGTCGATGAGTTTGAAGGCAGATACCCGTTCATGTCCTCGTCGAAATTCCAGAGTAAATGAGGGAGATTATAAAGGGTGATATGGTCAAAATTTGGTCAATATCAACTTGACGTATTTCTTTCAATTTTGCATTTAAAAAACCTGAACACCCCTCATTTTGAAGGTGTGTGTGTGTAGAATGTTGCTCCTATTTTGATTTTGGAATTCACTCTTCAGTTGTCAAAATGCCGTCCAAGCAAGAAGAGCAGCGTATCAAAATTTTGCTCGCGCATCGCGAAAATCCGAGCTACTCGCACGCAAAGTTGGCAAAATCGCTAAAAGTTGCCAAATCAACCGCTACAAATGTAATTAAAGTGTTTGGGGAACGTTTGTAGACAGCCAGGAAGTCTGGATCGGGAGGAAATCGAAAACCGGAAGCCGCTGAGACGACAAAGAGAGTTGCCGGTAGTTTCAAGCGAAACCCTAACCTCTCTCTCCGAGATGCCGCAAATAAGCTGGGTGTATCGTCTACAACCGTGCATCGAGCCAAAAAACGAGCCGGACTATCGACTTACAAGAAGGTAGTGACTCCAAATCGCGATGATAAACAAAATACGACGGCCAAAGCGCGATCCCGGAGGCTGTACACGACGATGCTGACGAAGTTTGACTGCGTGGTAATGGAGGACGAAACCTACGTCAAAGCCGACTACAAGCAGCTTCCGGGACAGGAATTTTATACGGCAAAAGGAAGGGGAAAGGTAGCAGATGTTTTCAAGCACATGAAACTGTCAAAGTTCGCAAAGAAATATCTGGTTTGGCAAGCCATCTGTACCTGTGGCTTGAAAAGCAGCATTTTCATAGCTTCCGGGACTGTCAACCAAGAAATTTACGTGAAAGAGTGTTTGAATAAACGTCTGCTGCCTTTCCTGAAGAAACACGGTTGTTCCGTACTGTTTTGGTTACGGTAAAAAGGCCATGGAGTGGTACGCCGCCAACAACGTGCAGGTGGTTCCCAAGGACAAGAACCCTCCCAACACGCCAGAGCTCCGCCCAATTGAGAAATACTGGGCTATTGTCAAGCGGAACCTAAAGAAGACCAAAAAAACTGCTAAGGGCGAGCAGCAGTTCAAGGCAAACTGGCTTTTTGCGGCGAAGAAGGTGGACAAGGTGGCTGTACAAAATCTGATGGCAGGGGTCAAGCGTAAGGCCCGGCAATTCGGATTTGGAAAAGCGGAAGCCTAACTGAATATTTTTCCTGAATTTTATACTAATTGAACATGAAAAAGAAATTTAATTTGATTTTTTAGATAAACGATTTCACCGATTTACACGCGTTTTCCCTTGACCAAATTTTGACCGTAATACGTTGAACTTGGTCATTTTCAGCAAAAAATGTAGCTCTATTTTTTCAAATTTTGACCTAAATACCAAGGCTAATACGATCATTAAAGAGGTTTAACAAATATGTAACGACTGGAACAAACGCGCACAAAACTATTTTGACAAGCGAGTACATGATTGTTAACGGAATGACGACTTGTGCAAAGGATTGAGCATGTCAACCTTGTCCCAATGTACCACCAGTCGGGGTGACAGAAAATAATACCGAACATTCAACATGTTTTAAAGATGATATAAAGGACAAACCCGCATTTATTGCAACGCACTTAAACAGCTGTAACTTTTTAACCACGGTAACAAATGACTTTAAATTTTCAGAGAAGATTCTTAGACGAATTTTTAGTAACATATCAATAGACCAAAGTTCAATGGCAAACTAATACCCACTTTTCAATTAGGGAATCCAAAAGCTGTCTTTAGACTTTGTACATTTGCGAAAAAGTCCATCCTCAGAATTCCTCGAGGTTCTTTCGAAATTTTTAGAAGTCTATGAGCTTTTTTGAAATTCTTCTCAGAAGTCCTCTGGAATTATTTTTAGAACTCTTCTTGACTTTTACCCAGAATACCTTGGAACTAAAATTCCCTTGGAGTTTGAGAAGAATTTCCTCAGTATTATCCAGAGATTATTCTCGAAATTAGCTAGAAATTATCGGTACTCTCTTGAAATTTTCCTCAAAATCCCTTTAGAATTTCACTCAAAATTTAATAATCTCGGTATTATGTTGTAACTATCTGCAGAATTCACTAGAAATTATTCGCAGAGGTTTCTTAGAATACTCCCCAGAAATCCTTTGGAACTGTTCTCAGAATTCAATATCCTTGAGGTTCTTCGCGGATTTTTTAAAACTCTCCTAAGAGCTCTTTTGATATTCTTCTCAGAAGTCCACTGGAATTATGTTTAGAACTCTTCATGATTTTTTCTCAGAACACCTTGAAACTCAAATTACTTTAGAGTTTCAGAATTTTTTCCTAGAATGAGCTAGAAATTATCCTCGGAATTAGCTTGAAATTTTCTTTAAAATCCCTTTGGAATTTCACTCAAAATTTGATTTTCTCGGTATTCTTTTCGAAATTATCTTGGAACTATCTGCAGGATGCACTAGAAATTATCCGTAGAATATTTTTGGAACTCTCCCCAGAAATATTTTGGAACTGTCCTAAGAATTCAATATATTTGAGGTTCTTCTCGGAATATTTTAAAACTTTTTTTTCTCAGAACACTTTGGAACTGAAATTCCTCTTAAAGTTTCCGAAAATTTCCTGTGTATTCTCCATAAATTCTTCCCATAATTAGCTTGAAATTATCATTGGAATTCCCTTGAAATTTTCCCCAACATCCCTTTGGAATTTCATTCAAAATTTGATTCTCTCGGTATTATTTTCGAAATTATCTTGAAACTATCTGCAGGATTCACTAGAAATTATTTGCAGAATTTTT